GTATATGTATATGTATATGCCTGCATGCATGTGTGTATGTACACACATATGCACACACATACCATTGTGTCAGTTGCATAGTTTGTTCAAGGCCGTGGGTTTGCGAAAAGGCTCGTGCGACATCAGCAGCTCCTCGCATGGGGCATCCATAGGCCGGAAAGCGCGGCGAATGCAAAAACAAGGCGAAGGGCGAGCTGGTTCTTAACTGCACGAAATAAGGCCGCGTGGTTGCGAAATCTCACTCCGTTTGTTGGGTGAGCGGTCCTTAGAGTGCGGCGGCAGCCGAGGCAGCATGCGCCCAGCTTGTTGCAGCCCATCCGAGACCACTTGGCGGCGGCTAAGGCTGCCAAGCCAAAACCCCCTTGTTGTAAGGTAACGGGAAGGCAGGTCACATCATGTAGTAGATATGGAGTGCCACTGTAGAGTGTGCAAGAAGAGTGGAGAAAGTTCGAGAACAAGCCATCTGCAGGCTTCAGCGGAGACCTTCCAGCGTTGTCTGGGCCAGTGCGCCTCTCACGAGGATGCTGCCAGGGACGTGGCCTTTGCCAAGCTTGTGGCGGCAACTGCCGATGACCTGGAGAGGATCCTTCAGGGTTGGGGCCGCCTTGAGAACGGGAATTGCGATGCAGTTGAAGCTGGGGGTATCGACTGACGCCTTTTGGTGCTTGGAGCCACAGCAGCGCGGATCGGAGACATCGAGAGACGCAGTGTCAGAGAAGGCAGACGAAGAAGCTTTAGCACGCTCTCTGTTTCTCTATCTCGGCAGGCTTTGCCATGCACCACGGTCACTTCCAGCATCAGGCTCCACAGCCGCAAGTTGTAAAGCAGTGTGTGCAGGCATGATGCATGCACGAGGTTGCTGTTGCACTTGCCGGTCTCCTTGCAGGAAGTGCTCAGACGGAATACAGTCGCGTGCTGTCTGTGCACCAGCTGGACTCGAGCAGCATTGAAGGCTCGGCTAGATCCTTTGCTAGTGAGAAGCACGTGCAGAACTCTTCCCTCAGCTGCTCATGTGAATTTGGATGTTCCTGACACAGCTGACCCTGCAGATGGGCATGCCTTTGCACAGATTGCCCGGAACGAGCACTGCATACCACAGGCCAGATCCTTGGTTATCTCACGGTTATGTCGGTTAGGTAGCTGTGCAACGGGTCTGCAACGGGCCATGAAATGATTCACCACTGATTCACCATAAGGGCACTTATCAGATTCTGTCGGTGCGAGGGGAAAACACAGTTAGGAAAGAGATGTGGCATTGAGTGAGATGCCGCTAGCTCGTCGGATGTCCCTTTGCCTTCCGGACCATACTCAAAGTGAATCTCCACCCTTGATTGCAAAGCGACCCTCCGCCATGAGGAAACAATATATCTCCACACCCATCGAACTGCAAAGCGGACGGATGCATGCGATTTCCAGCTCATGTTTAGCACACGCCATGCATGTTCTTCTGCAAACAGGCGCGCACGGTTCGTTTGGCCAAGGACTTCTGCTGCCTGCGGCTTTTGTGGTTGTTGGGTGTTGCAGTGCATGTTCGCTGACTGCGGGCTAGTCTAGATCAGGAGTTAGCGGGCCTGGCTGCATTGTTGCCGCTGTCGGACTCCTCATCAGTTCCCCGGCTGTGACCTTGGATTGAAACAAACAAAAGATGCCTCCATGAAAGACACAAGCAGCGGAATAGTGATGCAGTGTTTTGCGAGAGTCGTGCTTTGCTTGGTTCTTTTGTTTGCGCAGGTGTTTGTGCGCAACGGCGCAGCTGCCATGGTTGTTATTCTGTTGACTTGTGAGGCGGAAATGCCTTCTAATAGAGTCGGCAGTTCTAAGCAAGCAGCTCATATCTCGGAAGGGCGGTGCACGGCATTGGCGCATGGCAGGTTCACAGCAGCAGCAGCTATGGCGGGCTTTGATCACAGGGCCGGAGGACAAACACTGTTCCCTGTGCAGCATCTCGTTGTTATGGTGTGGTACCGGCACCGGTTATCGAAGAATCTGCTGTACCGGCGGAGTGTCGATATGTTGAAGCAGACAGAAATTGAAATGGTCATGCTTACCAGGGTGCTCCCATCATCGCTTTACGATGCATGATATGCCTTTGGCGAGAGCTTGTTTGCAGGATACTCCCTACAGCGGAGGATGCTTTGCTGGTGACTCAGAACAGAGATTTTGCAACGAGAGATTTCGACTCTGACAGGACATTGCCCGATTGACAATTTTTCCCGAATCATGGTAAGACCCAGCCGCCCGCGGTCGAGCAGCTGCGGTTGAGTTGATGTGTGAGAACGGCACGGTGCCGTCCAACCGGTGTGGGGCGGGAGGGTCTCGAGCGTTCGCTGACACCTGGCCGCTTTGCATCAATGTGCCAAACATGTGGCGGGCCACGGGCTGCCAAAGGCCTCCAAATCATTAGGCGCAAGGATCCCACATGGGGGTGCCTTTTCGCGGCTCAGCGAAAAAGCATGATCTTTAAGCGGGACGATTAATTTTGGGATTACGAGTTGAGCTGCATGGCCACTAGCTCGACCTTGTAACATGTATCTAGAGTAGTGGGAGAAGATACCTCGTTCCTCTGACGCACTCCCCCCTTCCTGCGTTGGAGCTTCCCTGGTCACTCGGCATGCTAGGTCTAGCTAGCTGTGAGTCTCTCCCTGTTTTCTCTCGTTGACCAAGCTCAGGTCTTTGACGTGTACTTCCCCGTTGGCTATCCGAATGGACCGCCAGAAGTAAAGCTCTTGACTACAGGCAGCCACACGTGCAAGAAATGTGGTCAGCAAGTGTGGACACATTCGCAGAAGCAGTGGCGAGGGGGTCATGGCTGCCATTCGGGGGTTTGCAACTCCAGCACTTAGATCCCATTTACTGGGGCATGCACAGGCTTTGAGCTCAGAGTGATTGTGCTGCTAAAGATCCCATCCGTCCACTTCGTCACAGCACTCAGTAGTTGAGAAAGCGGCTGGCGCAGCACTCATGATCTTTTTCCGCCAGGCGGAGGGACTGTGTGCTTCAATCCCAACCTCTACAGCAGCGGGAAGGTGTGTCTTTCCTTGCCCGGAGCTTACAGGACTCCGTGTCTGTTCGTGAACATTGACAGTGATGAAACCATGGATACTGGCAAGGTTGGGAACCTGGCAAGGCACGGAAAAGATAAACTGCTTCCTGATGCCCCCGTTGTGCTGAGCCTTGCTAGGTGAGCGAAGTGAGAGCTGGGATGCGCAGACCTCCCGCGCGGTGCAGGTGCTCGTCTCCATACAGCCGCAAGGCTTAACTCATCAAGCTGAAGCCTGTGCACTGAATCGAAGGACACACTTGTGCTCTGTGTTGGGATCTTCTACCCATCAGTGATGCAGACCACAAATTGAGATGAGGTCGCTGATCTTAGTGCCACAGCCGTACTTCAACGAGCCGGGCTGCTTGGACAGCGAGATGGATGCTTTGATCGGTATCTTGAGAACACCTCACCTTCGCGATGTCTGAGGCTATGAGACACAGATTGGGACACCTCGTGGAGACAGTCAAAGCAAAGCCTACAACGCCACAGTGCGCGAGAACTGCATCAGGCAAGGAGACGTGCTACTATTCACAGTGCTTTCTCAAAAAGTTCTGTATCCTCATCACTCAGACATGTAGAGAGACGGTGGCAGTAATTTTTCTTGTCGGCCGGGTGGTTGTGTAGTAGCAATCTGGCAGCTGGTAGTCTGGTTTAATGCTGATTGCCTTGTGTTGTAACCGTGCCGAAGACACTGGTTTGCTTGGATGCCGTGCGCCGAAGCCCCGATACCACGCCAGCTTATCAACTGCAAGTAGTGCGAGTGCCGGAATCTGCTGCCTGAAGGTGGGCCATGATCGACGTGTTGAGATCGCCTATGCCAGAGTTTGCTGAAGCTATCAAGCTGCACTTCAAGCTGCGTGGCCCCAAGATCCAGGCCAGACCACCGGTTCTCGTTTCAGCTTTGCTGCCAGCTCTCGCAAGTGCTCTGGCAGGAGACAGTCACAGCTGCCAGCTCAGACGAAGTCTTTGCTCTTTGCCGCCTAAACCAGCCCGGGCTCGGGCTCGGGCAGCTCCAAGGCATGGATTGAAGAGGCCGCACTTTGTCGGAGACCAGTGAAGCACGGGAAGCAGCGCAGTTCTGCAACAGTTTCTATTTGTAGTCACCGTACAACTGTGGGTCATCACCGCGTGACAGTCTCCACTGCGTGACCGTTGGAATCTGTTGGAATACATACATCACAGATGCAGCTGTCACGAGGAGGCATGCTAGCACCTTCAGTGCCGAGGACAGCGCCGTTCATCGCGCAAATCTGGTCGCGTTATCCCATCAGCTGAACCGCGAGTTGCAGAGATGTGGGTAGATTCGACTTGGACTCTTGGCGTGGATGTTGCCTCTTTGTGCCACCGCTTCTGCCATCCCTGCATTCTTGGAGGCTTGAAGGCCATGTCCGAAATCCTTGGCGTTGGTTGCCGTCGCCCTGGGTCTTGCTCGAGCTGAAGATGGTCCTGAAGCAACGACGCACCGACCTCAAGCTGCAGCGTTTCATTGATGAGGTGAGGTTTGTTCGGGCTCAGGTCGGCAACGTTAGCCGCCACCATGGCGCACATTTGTACAAAGTGTGCCATCTGCAGATTTATGCAGTCATGGCTTTGGGCGAAAGCTTTCAACATCTAGCGGGGTGCGAATCAGCGCGTGACGTTGAGTTTTGCACCTCAGAGGCCCATAAGAAAAGCTTGTCATCGAACCAGAGACTGCGACAGAGAAAATCACGAGCTCGGGTGCCCCCACGCCTCAGAAAATGTTGGTGGTGTGTGAGAAAGGGTTGTGCAAGTATCCAAAGCATGTGAGACATGTTCCCTCTTCCGCCCTTCATAGGGGGTTGGGTACTCTCTGCCAGCTGTCTGAGTGACTTCCTAGCGTGTTTTTTCTTGGCTCATGCCTGGGCGCTGCTGCTACCGCATCACCTGTACTCTTCGAGAAGTTACATCAAATACATCTACAGCAGCGGTTGGAGAGATACGTTATAAACATGCTGCGTGAAGCATCACGCAGTTTTGAAGTCTACGTGGCGTAGAGTTTGGTGCTGTCGGTTTTCAGCACGACCTCTCCCATGGAGTCAGCTTTCGGTTCTTTTGCTGCGCTCGCCCAACCATATCTTTTCGGCAGGCGGGGCATGTGCAGTATTGCTGCCCTGACCTGCCTTGCATCACAAGGTCGGTGATCGCTGAATGCGCGTCTTTCGTGTTGCGCAGCAGTCATCGCGAGGCAGCACTTCACCGCAGATGGACTTGAAGCACATGCGGCAACGAGCAAATCCCCGGACCATGCGATCAGGATTTGGCATCGCGCATCATCGTACAGCAAGTTCGAATCTGTAGTTCTGTGAGCCCTTGGGATTCTTGCCATAGCATGCTGGGTCCTTGATCATCTCGCAAGGTCCGCTTGGGGAATGTCGGCGTGTGACCCCAGCGTTAAAGGGACTCGCGAAAGTTTCTTCTCTCTTCTGTGGCCTCGTGTCCCCGCATTTCGTGGTGACATTCTTCGGCGACGGCATCCGCACGGTTTCGAGTCGTCTCGTGTTCCGGAAGAATCGTCTACATGCCGCGTTGTCGTTGATTCTGCCGGGCGCTGCTCCATTCCATTGTTGCTTGATGCTGCATGTTACAATGTTGAGATAATTGCCAGATCAGGTGACTTATCCCTTGGGGCATTTGATCCTCGAATGCAGCTGGGTCGCCTAGCTTCCGCAGTTGTGAGAGGACATTCCGACCGCACCTCATCGGCCGCGTGTATTTGTTGACAGGCCAGAGGAGCATCATGCCATGTCAGCCGGAGCAAAGCCTTGTTATCTTTGCGAGCAGGCTGCGGGACTGTCGTCGTGCAAGAAATCACCAAATTCTTATTGGAGTGTGGAGCTACAGTTTACGCTGCGGCTTGGCATGGTTTGCAGCCTGCGCAGCCGCGTCTTGCTAGGTTGAATCTAACTACCTACCTGCCCGCCTGCTTCGGACATGCATGCATACAAACGTACCTGCGAATACACGCACATGCACACATCTTGTCTCCATACTTACAAAAGACATGCATAGTCAGCATAATCGTGCATCCACGCAAGCGCACGCGTACACGCATGCATCCATCGGTCCATGCGATCATCCATGCATGAAAAAGGTACACGACTCGCCGGTGGTTGTTCGCTGGCGAAGGATGGGCCCAATCTGTCAGTCTCCCTTCGCAGGAAGCGGAGGTGAAAGAGTGGTTCCCGGTGCATGCGGGATCACGCGGGTCGCGAGGTAAAGCGGGCCCAGGCTCCGCGGTGCTGCAAAGCTTGGCCTTCGTGATCCGTGCTTGAAAGGGCCTTCTGCCAGCCTCAGAACTTTAGAGTTTGGGCGCCCGCATGAACCCCCGGTGGAGAAGTCAATGGCACATGCAGAGACCGCGAAGAGAAAGGGCATCTGCGTTTGATGCATGGTTTCGGAATGGACCAACTGCAGAAAGTCGACTCGATGGCTTGCTTACTCATTCACTCACTCCACTGACTCCGCTCAGTCCCTCAGTTGGTCAGTCGGTGGTCAGTCAGTCACACTCATTCACTCAGTCACTCAGTCCATGACTCACTGACTCACTGACTCACTCACTCACTCACCCACCCACTCACTCCGCTCCACTTATTGTTGTGTACATACTTTGGGTTTTTCAACCTTGCCGACTTGAGGACTTGTCTTCGAACCTGGTTTATTAGGGGGTTGTTCGGGGTAGTCGTGGACGTCGTCAGGTTGGCTGTATGTTGCGAGTCCTGCGTCCTGTACTCTCATCTTCTTAGCCTATGCGGTGGTGCTTCTATGAGAGTTCGGGTGACCCGGGACTTGCCCCCCACGAGTTGTGCAAAGTGCGGAGTCTTGGAGTCTGGGTTTTCCCTGCAGTGCGACCTAGTCAGCGAAGCGGGTGGGAAAACTCCGCTCCACTCCCCCTCCCACGCCCATTCCCCCTCCACTCACCGCAGTCGTTGACGCGATGCAGACACGAAGAGCATGCGAAGTACGCACGTGTGCCTGCTAACAAAAAATACACGCTGCACTCCCTGTGTATGCATTTGCACCAACAGGTGGAGAGAAGGGGTCCGTGAAGAGACTGAGAAGTCTGATGCAACTCGGAAACTTTACGTCCATGCACGGCCATGAGCCCATCTTGTGTGTCGTTTCGTCTGTCTGTGCATCTGCCGTCTCTTCACTCTTCGTTAATCTGCATAGACAGACATGAGAGACAAAGACAGACGGACCTTCATATGGGCGGACAGGCAGTCGGAGAGCGAGGAAAACCAGAGGGCGAGTCATGCAAAGCATATACAGACAAGTGGACGCACCAGAAGAGGACAAACCCAGGGGCGTGACAGCCTGCCACACTTACACGGCCGTGGTCGCTCCCGCGCACAGACATGTCAAGTACTCACTCTGTTCAGTAGTAGAAGGGGGCGAGCGTGCCGAACATGAGGTTCATCTGTTGGATACGGGTCAGTATGTTGGAGCGCTGAAGTGTTCAGAAACTGACACGTTGTTCTTCCGCCACAGCCACTGCCTCGCCTCCGTTTGTCAGTCCAACTGAGGTTTGTGAAACCCAGCAAACGGCGGATGGCTTGACCAACTGTCTACAGTGCGTCATAACCGAGGAGGCACTTTGCGTCTGCAATCGTTTGCAGAGAGTCGCTACATCTGTGGATGGCTTGTTTCAGGGCGAGAGCCCACTGCACATTTTGCTTGGGGATGTCGCTTCGCGTTCTGCAGTTCGAGACTGTTGGTGGCTGGGCGGCACCGGGCAGCACGTGTCAAAATGCAGCTCCAATTCAAGGTTTGTCTGCCAGGCAGCAATTCGAGTCCAGCTTGACCCAGCAGCGTCTTTCGGCAAGCAACTCTGGCACCATGGTTGATGATGGTGCCAAACTACCGACAGCTTCAGTCGATTGGCAGTTTTGCTGACGCATGTCAGCATGAGGTCTTGACTGCCTTTTATGTGGCGAGCAGCGCTTTTGCCACCAGCGAAGCATCACGGAGAATGTCGAAGAGACCTTTGCGGCAAACTTGCCCCCTGCCTTAACATTTTGCCGATATGCTGCATCCCAGGAGTGTAGTACGCACATGTGGATCACGCAGGAAACCATTAGTGAGGCACTCGCGGTCCATGGTATCTTGCTGTTGCTGCATCGTGTTGTAACACTGTGTCTTGCCAAGGTTGTGGGGCACCTATCTGTTGGGTGCCCTGCCTTGCACTCCGCATCATCTAAGTGGTAGTGCAGTATCGAATAAGAGAGGCACCGCTCCGTACCAACCCTGGTGCACAGGCACTCTGGCATTACCTCTGTTGCAACTGAGCAACGGGCGGCTCGTCGTTGTGAGCAGTTGGGAGATGCCCCTTGCTGGCAATGAGAAGTCATCGACAGAGATGGGCTTTGATAGGGAATGGGGTCTGGAAAGCTGACGTGTGAGAGAGGTACGCGACTGCGCTCCCGGCATTGCCCCAGCTTACCTCAGATGGCAAGGAGGAGTTGACCTTTTGTTGAAACGACAGTCATGCCAAGTGTATGGGAAGTTTTTTGTCGGGAGTTTGACGCGATGGCTTCAGGCTGAAGCTGTGCTGACATGGTGCGTGTGCCATGCATGTCCACCGGATTCGTCGGCTCAGGAAAGAGGACGCCAAGCTTGTAAAGTCACACTAGTTAATGGTTTGATAGCTGCGACATGAGGTATCACTCGGCATGTGAGGTTAAGATTTGTGTTTCCAAGCATTTATCTCTATCAAACCAGTTAATGCACTAGATGCTGGCAACTGCCCGGTGACCAAATTGCGACCCGCTTTGTGGAATGGGCGTGTCTGCGCATATGTGGATCGCTGTTTCTGCAGCTGCATGAGCAGCACGATGGCCGACCAGATCTTACTTGATTTGAGCTGTATTTCCTCGACGATGTGGGGCTACAATGAAGTAGCTGCTAGTGGTGTTGTGTTCAGCATGTGCCCGGTGAAGTTGTCTTTCTCTCAGGAGGGAAACCGAGCCGCACATGGGATGCCTCCAGAGGTCGCGTGCAGGGGTGGAGTCGGGTAAGCCTGGAGACAGCTTGTGAGGTGAGGGTGCACTAAGTCTGCTTCTCTGTCTGTATCTACTTCTTAAATTGAAACCCGAAGATTTATGTATCTTTCACGCATGAGCTCACTCCGCATGCCGTTGGTTAAGAGAAGTTAATTTGCCCATTTGCCGGGCCTAGCTGGCGGTGGTACAGGTCGAAGGTCGCGAGGGTGGCCGGCAGCTTGGCTGGGACCATCTGGCAAGCTCCCACCTCTACAATCGGTTTTTGAGGGCGGTTTAGGACTTAGGATTGAGTGACTGCAGAGCGTAGACGACGGGCCACTCAATCCGAGACCTTAAATTCAGGCAAGGGGGCCGTGGACCTGCACCAGGCTCCGCCTGGGTCCCGTGGCACGCAGTTTGGGGTGGTCTCTTCCGCATACTCGTTTGACTGATTTCCTGCCTCTCTGTCCCATGTCTGCGAGATTCTTCTAGGTGAAGTTCCGGGCCACGCAGGCAGGATATCATCATTTGTGCCGTTGGAGGCAGCCGAACGGCTAGGTCAGTGCTGGGACAGGTACTTGGAGGCAGTGCAGCTGGAATTTTCTCTTCAACTCCGCCTGAATTTGCCGCGAAGCCGCAGCTGGACACCGCAATCGCTGGCGGACCTGCTGTCGTCGCAAGCTCGTAGCAAGCTCGACATCCTCTCCGAGGTTCAGAAGGACAACTCAAATCAGGAAAGAGAGGCTGAAGAGGTGCCCGTTGGGGATGTGGTGGTTTAATCCTGCAGCTGTGCACATGGTGCAGTACATTGGGCACCAAATCCCGTCGGGACATGCGGACCTTGCCCTGGACATATCTTGTGTGATAGTTTTGCACCGGCACAAGGGGAGAGCTAAGATCTGCGATGAGACTCTCTGCCACACCTCAACTGACAACCTACACGTTGAAACCCGGACGACACAGAGGATAAATCTTTTTTTTGAGATGCTGGTGGATAGAAGCGTCACCTCAAGTCAATCGAATCGAAGATTGAGCCGAGCAGATCGCGAGCGAAGACAACGCGACAGGAAGACTACCGCGAGGGAAGAGAGGAACGGACAAACGCTGCACTCGTGCACTCATTCCACAACAAGCGGAGGGGCCAGCGCACAAAAAACTGCGGGGCGTGTGGATGGCTCCAGGCTACCACTAAAGTCTCTCGCTAAGAAATGCGAGCCGCAAGGGCAGGTGGCATGTTTTCGCTGAGGCTGATGGGCTGCAGCACAAATTGCCTGATGTGTTGTCTGACCTCTGAGGAGCTAGCTTTCGAGTTTCCTCCTGCTGTCCTGCTCTGCGAGGTCGAGGCCGTAGCCTGCCGCTTCGGTGACCTGACGTGGAAGCAGCAGGGGGTGCCACCGCCGGACTTCTCGGTCACTAGACCAGATTGGGCGACGTGTGCAGGCTTGCCTTGCTGACTGCAAACAGCGCAGGTCATCAATGATGATGCTGGTCCGTCGGTTAGAGCAGAGTTGTCTTTGTTCACGAGGCCCCGCAGCCTGCAGCTGCATGCATGGGGAATGTTCGCTAAATCTGCCTCCTTTGATTCGGGGTTCGTGCTGTCCGAGGCACGGACCGGAAGGTGTGCATGAATCGCGCGTGCGTGGGCCCAGGCGCAAGACCGCAACTTGCAAACATGAGAGTTAAAAGGTTTGTACACAGTTCAGGGTTTTGCTGTTCCGTGGGCTAGGGCATCCACACCAAGAACTAGAGTCTAGAGGGCAGGGGATTGTCTCGCACGAGGACCGCAGACTCAGATTAAGGCACTAAGGTCCCAGAGGCTCGAAAGGATGGAAGCCAGCTGCTGCGGGTGGCTTTTGCCACAAATGGCAGCCGAGCAGCTCCTCGCACGCACAGATAACACGTCGACGAGCTCCGATTCCGATCATCGTGGCTGGGTGTGGCGTCGGTTGTTTGAGATTTGCACGTCGAGGACATCAAGTCGAAGATCGCCGAACTAGAGGTGACCCAGTGGTCGGCCGCTGACCTGCTTGGAGAGGACCCTCAGCTCTCGGGATTTTGCCCGCATCCGGCTTGGCAGCGTGCGGCAGCGCATGAAGAAACTCAGGATGTGGATGAGGGGGCCGAGCGACGTCTTCCAGAATTCACGACCGCCACACAAGCTGAGAAGTTCAAAGAGCAGGAGAAGAGTGCATCTCGGCACCAGTTTGCCCCGCGTCGTTCGAAAATTGGTGCATCTCGCTTAAACCTGTCGAGAATCTCGAACAACATTTCTCGGCATGCTGAGGTGTCTTCTCTGCGAGAATGGATCTATGCAAAGAAGGTGCAGCTGCCACCTTTCTCATCTGCGCCTGCCGGTTTGCAGAAACGGACAGTCGCGCCTGGCCGGAAGGAAGAGCAGCTCGAGAACTTCCAGCCCTCTGGACCGAGCTGGTCACTCGCTGGTCAAGCCATGGCGGTTCCGAGACTGCCAGGCGGTGACTTGAAAATCGTAGTTCCCGGCATCCTCGCGAAGATCTTTACCCGCCTAACTTCCCGAACGGAGCTCCAAACAAATCCGTGCAACGAAGCATGGAACATGCGCCCAACGTCTTGCAACAGTGTTGGGACGTGCAGGATCAGCCAAGTTCCGATGCTTAGAGTGCGCAGAAGTACACGGAACAGTCGAAATCAGTTTGTGGACGTATTTCGCTGGAGTTGCCCACCGTCTCTATCAGTAGTGAGCATAGCTGGCACAAGGGTGCCAAACCGAAACCGCATGGAGGGTTGTAGGGTTAGTAGGGCTATTTGGGTCCACTGCGCGGTTCCGCGTGCAGGCGTGTGGTACGTGCACGAGCGGCAGCAAGAGGGCGGCCGACCCCTCCCGTGGCTGTTTTTCAATGCTTCATCGGGGAAGTATTACCGCCGAGTCCACGGCACAACAGGACCGCTAAGCTTTGAATGGTCGCAAGATGTCTCACGTCCTTCTCGGTTGGGAGATGTTCGGAGCATCGGCGTTTGCAGCGAGGATCGTGGGTTCAAGCTGGTACTCCGCACAATCCGATCTCAGAGCCGATCACAATGCTGACCAGCGTGCTTTGCCAACCAGCTGTCACTCTGCAGCGATCATCCCACTCCTGTGCTATTTCTCATGGCCACCAGCTGTTCTCACGATGTGCTCTGCCAAGGAGGGTGGTCGCAAGGACGACTTAGCTGTGGCACTTGTGGACCTACCTCGCACAGCACAAGCCCTCAAACAGCCTGTGCCCTTCATCGACAAGCCCGCTTCGCTTTTTGCACCTGGGCAGCAAGGCTTCAGCAGCAGCGCTTTCTTCACCGCTCTGTTGGTTCTTGTGAATCTGTGGTCACTAGACCCACTTATCAGGAAAGCCTGATTTTAGCTAGCTGAAGGCTCAAGGTATGAAATGAGAGAAGCCGCCGATCTTGCACCTCTTGTCTTGGCTCTGCTCCATACGTGTCCGCTCTATTCAGCGATCACACACACCTTGTTGTCGCTGTCGTCGCGGTGGTCGTCATAGTAGTAGAACTCGTGGGAATGCTAGTGGCATGAACAGGCTGTTCGAAGGTTGAATCTGGGGACCTGGCCGTTCTCACCCATCGCATTACAGGAAGCAAGTCTTTGCGTTGCTGCTGGTGCGTAGCCCCCATGTCCGGCCGATTCAACCATTGCACAAGGTCATGGTGGATGGCTTGAGGACCGGGACTGGAGTCATTGGAGTAGGAGTGGAGAAGCTGTTTGCCATAAGCCATCCGCGCAACATCGGAGAACACCGCGAGAGCGAAGGAGCAGCTCCGTGGCCTCGGAGTTCTGTGCGAAACGCTTCCACTCGCAGATTTTGCCACGGTTGAGCTGCAGGTTCCATGGATTGCAGTCCTAGTGATAGTGCCGGCCGGTGCATGCTTGGTCGCTGAGGTCGGATCCGCTAGAAGATCATGAATCTGGGTCTGAACCTGGCGAGTGGCTGTAGACTTTTCATTCTCAGTAGACGACGCTTTGCGAAGACGCAGCGGCGTAGCAATGCGTAGCAGCTTGCACTGGAGCGAAGGAGCTGGTGGCCATCGTTCAGGACAGCCTGGAGTCCTTGGATCACTCCTCAGCTTGCGGTCATTCGTGCGGCTTGCAGACATTTGCAGACGCTGGGCGTTCGCTGCGCTCTCCTTTCGCTTTTGAGGATTTCGCGTTGCTGGAAAGCACAGCCCGGTACAGCGGTTGCGGCCTGGCCGTGGCACTGTTGATGGGTCGCAGGCTGGTGGCGGCTTAGCTTCAGAAGACCCAGGGTTCAGTCAGAGATTTACGAGTCTTTTCATGCTTTCGTCATCTTTCGTCATTCTGGCATGCTGGTGAAGTTTGGGCTTTTTAGTCCATCTTGTGTCGTGACTTCGGCTGTGAGGTGGGCACGTTGGGTGACTGCCGAGTCTTCCTCTGTACAAGAGGGTTTCCAGCGAAAGGTTCCACTGCGAAGAGGCAGGAAAGTGTTAGGTCCCCGAAACTGATGACCAGCTCTCGTGCAGCAGGGTCGCTTCTTCTTATTTTTGGGAACCAAAGTCAACACGATGTCCAAGCTGTGTCATGTTGCAGCTCGGAAGTCTCGGGCATGAGGCGTCACCAAGAATGTTGGCTGTGCTCCTGCAAAACTAACCCGCGCGGGTTCATATCAAGGTCGCTTTGATCGTGGACATTCTTCACAGATCACACCTGCAATTATCACCTGTGCTCGTAATGGTCCCAAGCCTCGAAAGGTAGCCACAAATCTGTACATACTTCGGATCTCGAGCTGATTGCAAAGGTCGGAGGCTAGCTAGTTTCACGCAGTGTACTGGAGCTGACTTTCGGTGCATGTGAAGTGGCCTTGCTTCCCGTCGTGTAAAGCTGGTCCTGTGTCTGCTTTCGTGATCCCGCCTACACTGTGCAGGCCTGCTGGTTGGGAGGCGCGGCAGCTAGCCAATGGTGAAGGCCAGTCCCGTGACATCGCCGATGATTCAAGAAAACTGAAATCCGCGGATCGCACGGCTTTATGGTTGAGAGTGAGGTAGGTTTCTCACCTGTGCAGCTGAGATGCGCGTGCAGCTTCTGCCAAGCGCCTGTCGGATGCCTATTCGCGGCTTGAGCCCGGCCCGCTTCGAGCTTCATCAGCAAGCCCGGAGCTGCTGGTTGCTCGACGGCGCTAGTGGGCGGGCTCAATGATGTCTTCAGAGCTCTGAGTGTGCGGTGACGGCATGCGTTGCATATAGCGAATTCGGATGTCTCCAAAGACGTCCAATGAGATACCAGGATCATAACTGTTCACAGGTTGCTTGTGTTACAGGACAGTATGCTGTCAGACCTTTCCTCTGAGGGCACAGCCTCTGGTTGGGGTTAGGTAGTTTCATCGGCCGTCGGCCAATCGTCGCGGGACGGCTTGATTCTTGGATTGCTGCTAGTTGGCTGACCGAAGACTTAAAGAGGGGCTTTGCAATCTTTGAGAAGCTGCAACTCCACTCAGCCAACATAGAAGGAGAAAGATGTGCGGTTGCTGTGAGGCTTCGCAGCCGAATGATGTGGAGAGGCCCGGGCGCTCGGGCCTGGTTCGGCGAGTCTCCGCTTTTATGCTGCATGCCGCATGCCTCTCAATGGCCGTCGCTCGTCACTTCAGCCCGCACAGAAGAAATTCTTTGCCGGCCGCGAGAATTCCGAGCTTGCCAACAGGGCGCTTCTGCGCATTGACGCCGCCGCGCATCCGTTTGCTGCACTTGGTTTGTCGGTGGCTGCTTGTCAGGCCTGCTGCTGTGCTGCTTTGGGGTTGTCACATCCTAGATTCTAGACAGGGAAATCACACTCGGCGCATGTGCGCAGGGTGGTATTTCAAGCCTTCGGCAAGCAGTCGCAGATTGCGAAGCTGTTCTGACTCCGGCACTGTCCGCTGAATCCGGCAGCAACTTAATGATGTGTAATTCATTGACACGCTCGATACGACTGGTCTCTGCTTGTCTTTACCGTTCGGTACAATTGGCTCTGTCTGAGATCTGTTCCAAAGCGTTGCAGCTGAGGACGGTCAGCAGGACCGTGCAAGGCGAGCACTCTCAAGAGTTTTTAGGCAGCATTTGGCAGTTGCGAGCCAGTCTGACTTGCTTGCACACGGATGCCCGGCACCATCAACACGTTGAGGTGCAAGAAGCAGCCGCCGAAGTCGAATCCTTCATGGGAACCTCGGCATTGTTGCGAAGAGATTTTGGTTTCGAGCTGGCAAGGATGGTCAGCCAGGCTAGATCTGTCTGTATCACCTCCGCGACAAGGAATGGATGTTTATGTCACACAGATCCTTGCAGAGCTGTACTACCTCATTGACGAGGAGGGGGGCATTCCTTCTCCGAAGCGTGCGGCGGCCCTTTTAGGCGCGGCTGCCTGCATTGCTACTATGAGCAGCAGCAGTTCGCTGCCGAGTGAGATGTGCTTTCACGCTGGCGGAAGGTTTGTGTTCAGCGCAGGTGTTGAGCCAGGCTGCGGAGAGGCAGCCGCTCAAGCTGGCATTGACCGGCGTTACCGGGCTTTGCTTGCACAGCTAGCTGCTGTGAGCAGTTGGGCTGCAAGCGAAGGTACTTTCCGGTATCAGTAGTGGTGGGATGCTTCGCCCTGTGTGCGAGGTCCGGGTCACTCACAACGAGCATTCCGAGTCCTGGCAGAGCTAGCAGATGCCGCGGCACGTCCTTCAACTCCGCCGTTGTGGATACCTAGTGGCGATCGCTCGGCAACCTGCCGAAATTCAGATGATTCGGGTTGCTGTGGCATTTTGTTGCTTGGAGTGACCAGGAACGCACCGAAGGCGGTGGTACCGGCACTCATGATTTCGTCGGTGAATACTCGAGGCCGTCAGCGAGCGACAGACACACTATTCACCGAGGTGAGAGTGACAAGATCCCTTGGTTTTCGGGATCTCAAGCGGCCAAGGCGCTTGATGTAATTTGCTTTGTCGATTGCTGTTGTTCAAGTCCAACACGTCTTTGCCTGATGTTCGTAATAATCGACATGCTTCCTGGAGCCGTTTGGCTTCACCACGCTCTTGCCACTACAACTGTCGATGGACAAGTCAGTAGGATTTGATGCTCTGCTCTACCGTTGCGAGACATGTCGGAACTGACATGCTCCGTGCCGTGCCTGGCAGGCCACTCGTCGGCCTGGAGCTTTCGTCCGAGATTGTCCGGTTGGATGCCGCGTGCCTGCACTGCGGAATTTTCTGTCAGGCAGTAGGCCGGCTGTGTGGGGTGTTACTTTCCAAGAAGTCGGGATAAACATTTTGATGCAACTGCTTGATCTCCAGTTCCTCTTGAGAGGATGGGCCGCAGCTCCTGGCGCTTCTCTCAGACGGCGCTCGTGGTCTCAGCGAGCAGCGGTTGGCCGAGGTGGCAGCGGCTCCTCGGACATGTAGATAGTCTTCATCAACCAAACTTCGCTTTGGTCCCTTTTTTTGCTGGTCCTCTCTGTTTAATTCGGCATCAAGAAGACTGGGATATATACAAACAATACTGGCCTTGCAGTGATATTTCCAAAACAGTGTGGGAACGCTGCCGGGTTCTTGCATTGAGAGTAAAGCATAGAGGCCCGCAGCACGGTGGGGGTGCCGCAGCTCACTGTGCGGCACGGTTCATCAAAATCGCTGTTTCACCGCTTTGGGATGCCTTCGCTGGAAAGCAACAGGGAAAATGCAGCATTCTGGCGCTTCCCAGTTCGCAAACATCGCTCCTGCTCCGACACCCACCGTGGTGACGATTGAATCTTTGCCTTCGCATCGTTTCCGGGCTTCAAAGCTTTTAGTCTACATAGTTCAGGTTTGGCCCCTCGGGCATTTCAAGTTTTGCTCTGGTCTCGATCGAACCGTTGGAGTTTTCCAGGCTTTCGAATCGACCGATGTCGTGCTCTCGCCACGGTGCCGTGAGCGCTTCTTGGTTTTCGCACGTTTTTTTCTGTGGAATGTGGCAACGTTGACCTTCCCACCTCAGGCCCTCCGCCGGCAGTCCTTGCCATTACTCCTCTCGACATGGCTGGGGCTTCCCCGCACCGTAGAAGTCCATGTGCATTCTCGAGACTGACCCCTGCTCGCCACACTGCCGCTCGCACGTTGCACTTGCATTTCTCTCAATGGTCTTGGGACTGGTCCGAAGTGGTCCTTGGGCGGAAGGACTATCATTGAGTGATTTTGGAGTGATTGGTCCTCAAATGGTGCTGCGCTGTGTTACGATGTCGTGGGGTTTAAATTACGCAGGCATGTCTCTCGTGACGTCCTCTGTGTAGAAGAGGGCTGAAAACAAAAACAGTCGCAATGTGTCAGGAACGAGACTTTTGCTCTGCCCGCTCGAACGTCCTTCTTCTGCTTCTTCTTCTGCGTTTTCTTGGTCGTTTTCTCCTGTCTGCGCATGTTTTGTGCAAGCGCATCGTCCCATTGCCATGTTGCCCCTAACACTGTCTCAAAAGAGTTTCGTCCAATCAGTATATGGTCCGGTCATAATTGGCACAATCGGGGCGCCCAAACACTACTGCTTGTTTATCGAAAAGCTTCACATGTTTGCCTAAAGCAGTGTCGTGCAAAGAGTGTTCACGAAGAGCTTCGTCCATGTTGTTAGTAGACAAGGGTGGCCAAGCCCCCATGGCCAGCGCCCGATGCTCTCAAGAGCTTTTTTCCAGCACCAGGTCCACCACAGCCGACCTAAAGCGGCTTCGATGCGCATCTCGCCGGACGTCAGCTTGGTTTTTTGCCAGCTATTTCCGTTGCACCATGTTGCACCGTGGTTCCTGCATGTCCTGATCGTGTCGCGGTCAAGAGAGATGTGGCATTGTGTCACACTTTGGACTTCGGACCACTTGTGTTGTCGCTTCGAGGTCCCTCAGATCTTGAACAACTGAGGCCAATTCATACCACGTACCATGCTACCTGCACCGACCAGCACCGCATAATCGAGTCGGATTCAACAGTCAGCAGTGTCAGCCGAACATGACGCGGGCGATAGAAGCTCCCCCCTTCTGCGGAAGCAATCATGAACAAGCCGCAGCGATCGCAGTCCGCAGTGTATACCGTGAAAAGTGGCAACTGCAAACAAGGCATTGCTGCTGATGCCGCTTCTTCAGCGCAACCAGGTGAAGCAGTTGGCGTGATTGCAGCTGCCTTGCAGGCCTCGGTGCTGCGTTATTGATGCAAGCGATCACAAGCAGCCCCTCGAAGTTGGACCCTGTGCAGGTTGGTACTGAAACGGAGAGCAATCCCGCTGCTGATGCCAAGGGGCCTGAAGCCAAAAAGCGGAAGGTCCGGTCGTCAGGCGGTCAAGAAAGACGTTGATTTGTTGCGGACTCGCCGTGAGGTGGAACACGTTACGCCTGGTGGCAAGCGCAAAGTTCGCGTTGCCTCCCTACTGCTGAAGTACGCCGGAGCCCCTTGTTTGCATTTTGGTGCACCTGGACAGTGTCAGCATTGCCTGAACCAATGCCGTCAATCGTTTTTCTGGTGTGAAATGCTTCTGGAACTCACAGCTGGCTTGCAGGATGGTGTTGTTCAGGGATTGTCGTGCAGTGCTTTCCAAACATTGCTCCGATCTGTGTTCGCAGGTCAGCGAAGCTGACTCCTACGCACGGCGCAAGGCTCCGGCAAATCGCTCACAGGCCTTGCGGTTGTTCGTTGGGGCAGCCGTTCGGGGCTTGCAGCCCAGCCATGACCAGGTGGATGCGGAAAAGCAGCTTTTACAGGTGGGAGATAAAGCTTCTCAAGCTTTGGTCGAATTATTTATTAGCATTTGGCGTCTTTCCGTAGGTCCTTGAGGCTTTGAGCCAGGATGCCAAGACTGGAGAAGCAAAGGCCGGCTAGATGATTTATGTGTCGTGTAGACTCTCGGAGATCGGAACTTTTTTTTTGTTGTTGCTGTTGTGCTCTGCAGCTGAAGCACCGGCAGGCCTGCAAACGCAAGCACACAGCAAAAACCACCCACACACACACACACACACACTCACTCACACACACACACACCCACACCCACCCACCCACCCACCCACCCACCCACCCACCCAGCCAGCACCTACTTTGTTTTTGTTGGTGCTTGTGGTGCAGGGGGGCGGGTGGGGGACCAACCACAATAAATCAAACACACACACACACACCCCACCGACAGCGAATCAAATCACACTTACTGTACCTGCAGGAGACCCCATCATGCGAAGAGAGAAGTCATTAGAATGCAGTCAATGGCTCTGTGTGCCAGTTGGAGGACCTTGGCCTCCGATTTGCGGCCAAATGTGAAGCTCTGTCGGTCTGTTGGCTTACAGGCTTACACGGGACAGTTGGCTGTGAAGGCTTGCAGCCTGTTTTGCAGTTGGCTTGGCGCAGCCGAGGACTGCAAGTCTGCAACGAACAAGCCTCACGCAGATCTTGGGTGGGTATTGGAAGGCGATGGTGGCAGACGTTGTTCTTGCTGCAAGCTGATCGCTCGTGCCATGACAGTTAGGCCAATTCGGCAAAGATTTCGATGCGGTGGCCTTCGATTTGGATGTGGCTCTTGCTGGGAATGTGTGATCTGCATTGACGAATTTTTCGACTGTCTCGGCCAGTCTCTGCCCATGCCCCGACACCAAGTTCCGAGGTTGGCGGCTTGAGCGACATCTTCACCACAGCTCGAGGGGCACAAATCATGTACAGACTCGCCTGAGGGGCACTTATCGGCAGATGTGGGTGGGCTTGGCTTGCGCCGCAATGCCGAAGGCGTGTTTAGAAGTAGCTTCGGGCTTCTGATGCCTCTAAACGTGTCGGAGAAGCATGATGCAGGCTCGGTCTGAAATAGTCGCGGTGGCCGCACCCGTCCTTTGCAAGTCCAGGTTAGTCCATGCCCTGTGCTTACCGACGTTTTTTTGATTCCGAACTCCAGGAGTACGATGGCTTTCTCGCCTTTGCCTACACAAAGCGAGCCCAGGTCAGTTGCACCTGCTTCTTCGTTAGGGAATGTTACCGTTGCCGCGGCGGAGGTGCTTCTTTGCGAACACTGGGCCACGGAGTTTCCGGAAGTGAAAGCTGTCAGCTGCCACCCAGGTTCCTGGCGTGGTTTCATGCAAAGAAATGCCACATCGGCGGCTGCAGAATATGGTTCCCTTCCTTTCCAATCTCCGGCTCTGCCGAGGATGGGTCGAAGACAGGCTATCACACGACATGTACGGAGAAAGCGCCCCTGCCCTGATTTCATTGATTTCGGACAGACTGCGTACTGTTGCGTTCGGGACACCAGCGAATGCGGGCTGATCTGCACTGAGAACCAGTCCCAGCAAGGTGCCGTGCTATTGGAGCCAATGCGTGATGCTTGGGCAGGTGCCGAGGCCTCCGCATGGTTTTATTATTGGATTGCCTTACCATGTCGTAAGAAGTCGTAAGTGCAGCTAACTTTGGCCCTCAGGGCATCGCGTGGCTGTGCACTACGGCATCTCGCAACCTCGTTTCAGGCCGAAGCTAGCCACACCGTCGAGATTTCATTGCCTCTGAGTTGCACGCGCAGGTGCTTTCTACTTGGACAAGGAACCACAGAGCAAGCACCTTGCAGGCTTCATTCTCAATCAAGATAGCGGGACTCCACGATCCGAATTTCTTGAAGATGGAGCCCTTTTGGGGCGAGATGGGAAATAGCGGTTGTAGCGTGGAGGTACTTCGACAGTGGGGTGCATTTCAAACGGTCGAATGCTTTGAGGCCCCTTCTTCTCCGAGGGCACAGCAACTCACAACAGCACTGCTCTTACAAGTACCGTTGATGTCACGTGATTTCGCATAGGCCTTAGTGCTTGCGACGAAGGAGCAGCCCAACTCAGAATGATCCTTGCAAGGAGTACATGCGCGGAGTGACTTACCGTAGCCATCACCACGGCTGAGGCAGCACCGATGTTCACCTCTTCCTTGTGTGCTTGCAGGCCTGGGACTGACAACCGTAGAACAGATGCGTGCACAGAGCCCAACCGAAGACTTTCCTGTGTTCGATCACTATGGAAGGAATGGAGCCATGGCCAGCGAGTGGCGACAGTGCGGCTCGACGTCTTGCATTGGCTTTTTCGGATGTGTAGGATGCACGGCCGTCCAAGTACGTTGGGGAGTGCCGGTGGTGATTGATTTCTGGCAGCACCTAGCCAAGTCGTGAGCCGAATAGTGACCACAGCACAGCTGAGAACGAGGCGGCGTCCTGCAAAGAGTGGCTTCCCTCCACTGCAAGATGCTGCTGTCACAGCGCCCTGACTGACCAGGTGATTGAAGCGGTCATTGCCTCAAGCCACCCAGCTCCACTCCACTCGTAGGTGGTGTTGGCCTGGAAGAAGCTCCATCGAGCAACTTTTGTGATGCTTCCCTTCACGCTTGGCCCGATCGCCGAGGATGGCTCTCGGTTTCAGCTCAACAAGTTCATGGGCTTTTGGTATGTCCTCTGGCACATTCCCAGTACTTTGGACAAGGCCGAGCTTCATGCATGATAGCTTGCGGGCCCTCTGTACAGTTGCTCGGGTCCATGCTCATACCCGAATGGAGGACAACAGAGGCTCCCGCCAAGCATCCCAGGGCTCTCTGGCACTGATGCGGGTTCTCTTTCCGCACTGCCGAAGCTTGAGGAGACCAGAGAGCTCCCAAGTCTCAGAAACGGAGAGCTGGCTGAACACCCTGTCTGGTGTTTGACCAGCACTCGACCTAGTGGCAGCTCGTTCGGAAGGAGGCTTAGGTTCGACACCGAAAACATGCCAAGATATCAAGCCCAAGCCGGGGCTGCTATGTGCGTTCGCGGAAAGGCGTGGTCTAACATCGTCAGGGATTACAAGCTGGACGCATCGCAGCCCTTCGGCACAACATGGCCCACACCTTCAAACTTGCAGCATGTGCTTTCGTCGAGGTCGGTGGTCACGGCCCGCCAGATAAGTCGCGAGGGTGAAAAACGAATCATTCACGAGGAGCTCTTTCGCTCTTTCCTTTGGTGCTTTTTTTTCAGATTCGCAGTGCAGCTCCCTAATGCGACAGCCTGTCGACCCAAACCGGCCCAAACCACCCAAACCACGCCACTCATCTGTCATGATACGAGTGATCGCATCGCAGGAGCACCTGGCAGTGATGGGGTCCCAATCTGAGTTTCAGCGACAGCCGCAAGTGGGAGCGAGCTCGAGGCTGCAACTAGGCCGCATCTTCATAAAGTGAAAGGGACGGGTCTTTTTTGTGTTATGAGCAAATCAGAGCTGTCTTCGAAGCTTCAGTCGAGGCTTCCTCGATACGTGGTGCTTTATTGCCCGGGGCTCAGGAGTTCTTGCAGCGACTGGGCGAGTGCATAGTTTTCTAAACTTTGGCGATGTCAGGCTCTGACAATGCCAAAGTCAGGACCTGAGAGAACTCTCGGATCGCGAGCTGAAGCGAGCTCGCACGAAGTTGGTGTGATGTGGGTACACTATTTTTGACAATTGAAAGATAGTGAAAGCAAGTAAACTAAGTAGAGCGACAAGCCAGCCTGTGGACAGGACCGATGCTTACGTGCGTACTGTTGGCCGGGAGTAGGGGCGTGCAATGGTGCGCACAACAGAATCTCATCAGAAGCGCAGAAACTCTAGCGAGGGGAGAGAATCAGACAGTTTGAGTGTGAGAGAGTCTTGCCAGCAAAGAAGCAGAGCCTCAAGTGGACTGCACGAAAGGTCATTGTCATATATGTCCAGCAGCAGAGTGGCGAGAGAGGGTGCGCATGTGCGCTGGGAGCTCTCCGAAGCACACCTAGCAAGCAAGCAGGAATGGGAAGGGATCGGGACAAAGTGAGTTCGAGAGAGTCAGAGGGGGAGAGGACTGGTGTTGCCCCACAAGTGGGCCAAAGATTCGGGGGGGGGGGGTGGGGGCAAGGGCTTCCAGACCGAGCCCCAACCTCGCGGGCGGTGCGCCCGGGAAGATGACCCCGACAGGCTGGAGGGCATGTCCCATCTGCTCCCCTTGCTGACAAGCTCGTCAAAAGCGCACGAGGCGAAGAAGCCCGGATTTTCCCAAAGCATTTCTCAGTATTGTGGCACCGACGAGGAAAGCTACACCGGGCAAGCTGATGCCAGGGAATTGCTTGAGACGCCTCGTTCAACCCTTGGGGAAGGGAGTGATGGGGTTTGCACAGGTCCAACGTGAAACTTGGTGGATTTTCCACCCGCACAAAGGCATGTTTGATGTCCGAGACAAAGGCTTTCACCAGTGCAGGGAGAACGAGAAATGTTCAGATTGTACCATGAGACATGAGATGCACGTAGCTCCACCACCAAACCCGTCTTGTCAGCTTTTGGAGGTTGGAATGATGGGCACAAGTGATCGCAGCAAGCTGTGGATAATGTCGCGAGAGCCAACTATGGAGCCGCAAAGTCTGCAAAAGCTTCGTGAACATGCCAAGAAGTTCGGCCATCCGGCTGCACTCCAGCTAAACTGATCTGAGCGGTGCACGCAGCTTCGAATGGTGATCGCACGAGATGCCTGACTTGTCCCGCAAGCGAAGGCTTCAGGCTGACTGACTTGATCTCGGTGCCGCAGCAGTGGAGACAGGACGAACTTCATAGCGAATCGCACGTGTCAGCTCACCTCTAAAACTTCTACACTGACTCTAAATGACTCTAATTGATGCACCACGGACTGGCACTGCAGGGTCTGGCTGCAGGACAAGGCTTCGAAGCAGAACGACCCAGGGTGTTGTCCCCGTGTGTGAAGTCGAAGTTGGCACGTCGCACCTTGGCAGAAGTATGCAGAAGTCAATGAATGTGTTGTACTTGCACATTTGCCAAGGTTCTTGGGGCCTTGGGGTGCAATGTCCTGCGGTCCTACGGATGTCCTACGGCTTACACCAGGGCCTGGGCACAGGAGCCGCTCCGGTGCCCAGGAGGCCACCCTCTTCCAGCCCACGGATGCCAACACCAGCAAAGGGCATGCAACTCGCTCCTGGCCACTGTTTCTGCAACGACATAAGTGACACCTGCGACCATCCAGAGCTGCATCAATGGCAGCATCGATGCCTCGGGCATGCTTGGCGGGGCGTGGCTCGTTCTGAGAGCGGAGTAAAGCCTAGCATGATCAGGTCCTTCGCAATGTAGAGGGGCTGGGTCTGTTGACGCTGGGGCAGAGGAGGCTAAAGCCCACGACCACCAGTACGGCCCACAACGCATCCAGCCCTTGTATCGACGAGCTTGACTGTTGGGATTGGTCTGCATGGACAAGACACCTCTCAACTCTGCATGGGAGACGGCTGCCGACACCGAGCGACGGCCGTGGTGTTCATTCTGGCAAGGCTCAAGGCGGCTACAGTAGAAGGTTCGCTTGTCATTGACTGCACTGAATGCCTGGAGAACGAAAGCAGATGAGTTCAGGTTTCCTTCGGTAGCTGGTAAATTGCAAGGTCTTTATCTCTGATAGAGCAGCGCCTTTCATTCAGCGCTCCCCGTAGCCCAAACAGACCGCTGTCCTTTGTTTCGGCTCCAGCACCCGCTCCTGGAAAGCCCACAATTCAGGATGTTCTTCGGTGAAGCTTTAGGGCCGAGCCCGCTCGACCGTGACGGGTTGGCGAGGCTTTGCGCCGTCTCACCATGCGGTGGCTAGCGGCTGCTGGTGTGGTGATGTTGAGTTCCACGCCGAGAAAGAAGCTTCAGCTCTGCATGAAGGCAGCTAGGCACTCTGGCGGTGCAGACTCCGGCGAGTGTATCCAATGGTAGACTTTGGCACATGTCAAGAGAGCCCAAACCCCCGAGCTCTGGAGCGACACGTTGGAAGCAGGCACCGTGGCTGCTCCACCTGCTTCGTCGCTCCTCAGTTCAGCCAGATGCTGTGGCTCACCACCGCCTGACCCCGATGGCTTCCACCATGAAGATGAGACATCATTGGGCCGTCGTTCTGCTGCTACTAGAGGAGCTTCCGCTGGTCAAGCTTACGCCGGACGACGTCGTGCACAGTACCGCGCTGAAAGCGCTCGTTCAAAACCACCGTTGGGAGCAGGCAAAGTGTGTGCTCGGACAGATCTTGTCAGATGGATCTGAAATCGATGCTGCCGCTCTGACTACATCAGGTTGTGCCGCTGATGCGGGCGAGAGGTGGAGAGCTGCAGCTAAACTGTTCACGCGCATGCAGAAGCACGGGCTGCGGATCGATTCTGTGGCAGGGTGTGTCGCAGTTTCTGCGAGCCATTGGGAGCAAGCTTCGTGTCTGTTGATGGTGCTGGAGTTTCATTCGGTGGAATCCAACCTTCAAGTTTGCAACGCCGCTGCGGTGACGCTTGATCGTGTCAAGCAGTGGCAGAGAGTGGTCGCCTTCACCTCCCGGCTGGGCAGGTCTGTTTGTGACGACCTCACGCTTGCATCTGTGGTGCGTGCTCACAGCGAGAGCAGTTGGCATCGGACGTTGACGATTTTGGCTTTGTGCCATTCGTCTGGGACACGATGCCTTCCTGCCGTCCTCGATTCCTGCGCTGCAGCTCGAGAGTGGCCAAAGTCCTTGATGCTCTTGTCACGATGGCGGGGGATGTCAATGCGCATTGATGCGGCAACACGGAATGGTATTCTCCGTGCAGCCAATCCGAACAACTGGATACACACGTTGAGTGCGTTGCAACGGTTAGTGACGCAAGGCAGCGAATACAACCTTATACACTTCGTCGCGGCAGAGGCTGCAATGGATGACTGCGGGGCATGGTTCGAAAGCCTGGAGCTATATCGCAGCTCAGTGCAGATGTCTCTGGGCCCCACGTTGGAAACTTGCAGCCTCGCTTTGCGTGCATGCAGCCGATCTCGTGCGTGGCAGCAAGCTCTCCGGATTTTTGCCGAGGCCGAAAGCAGTAGAGTCAAGCTGGACAGCATCGTTTTCAACACTCTGATCACCACCTTGGAATCCGAGAACTGGAGAAGGGCCCTGGACGTTTTCTCATCACGCAGCAGCCAGTTAAACTCGGTGTCGCACAGAGCCACGATGCGAGCCTTGTCAAGCGTCTCCTCTGCGAGCGGTGAAATCTGGCAGCTGGCTGCGAAGGTCTTCCGAAATCTGGGCAAGGTCAGACTGAGCATCGACTCAGGATCGTGTGTAGCAGCCATTGAGGCTTTCGGCTGCAACCAACAGTGGAGACAGGTCGGTGTCTTGCTCAGCAACCAAGCGAACAGCAATGTCCTCACCGATGTGGCTTGACAGCACCGAACGCTTTATACCGTGGGAAAGGTTGCGACGGCAGTTTGGCAATAGCACCTCCGATCGTCTTGCCACTGATAAGATGCGTACCACAACAGGTGCAGAGTAGCACAAGTAATGCTAGGAGAGACCGTTCGAAGCAGAAGTGTCGGCAATCTCGGAAGCCCACAAAACGCGAACAAGCTGCAGGAGAATCGGAAGTTGGGACCGGAGCAGCTGTGGTGAATGTTGCGGATGTCGTAAGCGGGAGAGAGAGTTTCGGATGAGCTGGGTACTGCGCGCAGAGGCATTGCTACAGATTAGAAGAGGGGCCGGGCTTTTGCAACAGAGAGACCACTGAATACTCCATGGCTAGACGATTCTGTTTGGGGTGTGATTGCTTGCAAAAAGATCAAGATGATCAAGAAACAACTCGAGGAGTCTCCAAGTACTACTGCGAACGGATGTGTTTTTCGTTGGCGGCGCACCGGCTGAAGACAAACATTCTTGAGAAGCAGGGGCCGCATGGCCGTACTTGATCTAAGTCGGCGGCGCGAGCGTTATCCCAGTGGCCTGATTTTGCTGTCACGCGTCGTGAGCTCAGGTGCCGATGCGAAATGCCGTCGTGACATGCTGCACCAGGGCTTCACATTGGAACCATGCCCTTTCGCTCTTCTATGCTTCAGGTGCCTCAGCCAGGAAAGCTGCAGCTGTCGATGTTGCGACTTATGTTGTTTTTGAGCCGTCCAGGTCTCGGGCTTGTACCTGACATCGTCTCGTACGGTGCCGCGATCTCTGCCTGCGAAGCCTCTAGCAGCTGGCATTCTGCATTGGCTTTGCACATGCGCATGCTCATGCAGAGGCTCCAGGTCTCAACTATTGCACAGGGTGCCCTGATGAACTCAATCAGCTCGGAATCGAAGTGGCAATTGACACTGCTTTGCCTGGCAGAGCTAGACCACCAGAAGATGGCTCATAACGGTGCCTTCAGTGCTTGTGAGAGAGTCAGCTGCTGGCATCAAGCTTTGCAGCTCCTGCAGGGGCTGTCGCTGAGACACCTCCAGGTCGAGGCTTCGAGCTTCAACTCGGTGGTCAGTTCTTGCGGGAAAGCGAGTGGCAAGTGGGAGACTGCCCTTGAGGTTCTAAGATCCATGCCCTTGTACATGGCAAAACCAGATCTTTTGACCTATGACTCGGCCATGATGACTTGTATAAGGTGTGGCGAGACTCAGGCAGCCTTGGACACGCTTTCTGAGCATGAAGGCCTCCGTTCACCGCTATCCTATCTGTGGTCCTTATCTGCGATGTGTGCATCAGATCCCGCTGTTGTCGAAAGGGCTTGCGTCAATGCTGGAGATGTCGCAAGCTGGCAGGAAGCAGCAGATTCTGCGTTATTTCTGTACTCAACAGCTCTACTGGGAGCGCACAGCCAAATCCATACTGCAGCTGCGCGGCACGCCTTGGAGAGGATACGATCGCTGAGCCTAGACATGTTGGTGATGTGCTGTTGGGGTGCCATTGGATTGCATGGATCCGAAAACCTGATGGCGGCATCAGTGGCGCGTGCCCAACACATGTTGGCCTTTGTTGGCCGCACGACGAGCTTGCACACCTACGACTTTGAAAAGTCTGGAATCAAGCTCCTGGGTGTCGTTTTTGCATGTCGGCTGTCGCGCTGCCTGCCAGCTCGCTTCTATGCATCTGTTCGAGGGCTTCTTCTCCGGGTTGGACAGGATTTGGATGCCAAAGCTAGTGTGGGTGAGAGCGTGCAGCTTATCCCTCCGAGGGCAGAGAAAGGAATGCCGAGGGCGGCAAGGCCTTCCGTTCTCGTAGATCTGCCGGATCGGGCGGCGATGTACAAGCCGAGAGCTTGGGAAGTTTATGGTGGCCACTCCCGGCTTCAGCTAGTCGCCTTCGCTCAAGATCGCTTCGGTGATCGGCAAATCTTCCGCGATGCAAGTCATCACCACGGTTTTCTGCATAGGCTTGATGTCCCCAGCTCAGGCCTGGTTGTAGTGTCGAAGACGTTCGAGGCATTCTATGACTTACAGCTGCAGCTTCATGCCGGGCGTGTGTGCCGTGACTACGAGGTTTTGTGTCATGGATGGCTCCCCCCTCGGGCTGAGTTCACGGCAAGGATCTTCTGGCACGGAGATGGGCCTAGCATTTCAGGTGGACGAGGAAGACCAAGCAGTACACTCATGTTGCTGTGCCGCCACTGCTTGCATTGCTTGGGAGCTCTTAGCAGCGTTTCGCTGCGCCTCCGCACAGGAAGGAAGCATCAGATACGAAGCCATTTGGCACATGTTGGGTCCCCAGTGGTAGGGGACGAGGTGTATCAGACAGCTGCCACCTACCGGGCTGACTCCGAACATTACACTGGCAACTGGCTTCATCGTAACAAGATTTCTTTCCAAAGCTCATCCGGCAAGCATTGCGAGGTGCAGTGCCCGCGGCCACCAGCTTTATCGGCACTGCTGTCTCAAGTCCGCTGTCTTCGGAGTTGGACGCAGACATGCAAATCGAGCAGCCGGGCCTGTGCGACGGGATAGCCGGGGGAGACTT